TAATCACTCTCCTCCTCATTAAACATATGTTTTACCTTCATCTCCATCCTTTCAAATTGATTTTCCTATTCAATTTGCAACTTCTGAAGTTCAAACTCTCTCTCTTTCTCCTTCTCTTCTCTCTCTCTCTTTCTTTTTGCTCAGCTAAGAACCTTCTCTCCCTTTCTTTATCTTCTAACATGGCTCTTCTTTTCCCTTCTTCTGCTTGTAACCGTAATTCAAACTCTCTCACCTTCCTTTCATTCTCCAACTCCAGTTGTCTCATTTGCAACCTAAATTTTCATTAATTCCATTGCACTTGCCTGCTTCTCTGATATACTTAAGTGCTTCACTAACTTCATTATTATTTCAACTTTCCTGTTATCCTGAGTCAAATCCAATTCTAACCTGTTTGCTAATTCTAATAGTATATACTTCCTCTGTTTTTCTAAACTTTCTTGATAAATTTGGGAAGCATTTTCAAACGCCAGAAACTCTTTAACAATGTTAAGAGCCATTTCCCTCACTTTAATTTAACCAACAACAGGTTGGTTAACCGAAATTAAACAGATTTTTTTCTCACCTAAATTTTATTTAAAGATCTAGGACACTAATCCCCAAGTCTGTTTAAATCTGTCCAAATCCATTCAGATCCCATACACGAGCCATCCAAATCCCAGGCTTGACCTGTTTAAATCCATCCAGATCCTGGACTTCAGCCCTCAATTTTTTTGATGATGGGCAATGGCTGAACACTTCTGATAATTAAAGTAAAACACAAGCCCCGATCTGTTATGACAGGAGTAGGGCTTCCCCTCTAACAATTACTCCCTGAACACCCAGGGAAGCTCACCTTTCCCCTTGTAATCTATTAAGAGTGGTTAAAAGAAAGAAAATCCCTGATCTCCACTTTACAAGTAACAAGAAACAATTTATTTATTTAACCCCACAATGAACAAATTAACAAAATTACTAACAAACCACCAATTCCCCTCTATACTACTAACTACTCTCCAACTGGTCTAAATTCTACTGGAATGCTGTTTAAATAAAGACAAGTCCCACTAATATAAACACAATTAATAAGAAGCAATAAATTACAACTTAATCTCTCCAAATTCACATAGACTGTCTTCTGGAATATTCTGTTGTCTCTGCTCTCTTCCCAAATGCCTTTCTTCTGTTAATTCTGCTGTCAGGAATGCTTTATCTCTATAATTTCTTCAAGGAGGACTTTGAGCTAAAATATTGTGGTACTTTAGATTAATTAGATGGGCTTTCTCTGAGAGCTGAATGGTGCTAACTCAAGCAGTGGCAGTTGGCTCTCTTGTTCAGATGGGAGTTGGCTCTCCCTGATTTTCCAAATGCCCCCGTCTTATATACCCGTAATGACATAATCAAATTCTTATAATATGATTGGTTTCAGGTTGTCAACATCAGTGTTTAAATTCAATGGGCTTTGAATTGCTGAAAATTGCTGAGTTTGGTTTTAAATTAAATGGCCGAATTCAAACTCATTGTCACAACATCAAAACATTTTTGATACACTTGTTTCACTTTTTGAGGCTCTCTGTACAGGCAATTTCAGCTGCTGCTCATAAACATACATTTTCTTAAAAAGTTCTAAGTACAGACAAAGCACAAATCTCTTACAGAAACCACACATTTTAGTTTCCTGCCTTCCAACTCACAATTACTCTCCCCAACTTCGTAACAGCTGCACTCATGAGTTTCAGAGTGGACAAGTATCTGGAATTAGGAGTCTACTGATAACCATGAATCCAATATTCATTGTAGGTAAAAACAAATCTGGTTCACTAACGTCCTTTAGGGAAGGAAACTGCCATCCTTACCTGGTCTGGCCTTCATGTGACTCCAGACCCATAGCAATGTGGTTGATGCTTAACTGCCCTCTGGGCAATCAGGGATGGACAATAAATGCTGCCTGGTCAGCAACGCCCTCATCTCGTGAATTAATACAGAAAAAAAATAATTCCTTAAATCTGCTACTAACTAGGATGCTTCCTAGAGATGAACAATGTCCTGCCCATGTATCTTCTAACATTCTTAGGATGTATGAAGAGGCTGCTTAACTTTGCCATGGTAATCACTTAACCAGATCCTACAGCTAAAATGACAATTGATGATTAAAAGCACATATATATTTATATTGTGGAAGTGTATTACAATAATGCTATTTATAGAACCTCAGTAATTTTATTTTCTTTGCTCTTCAACTACATCTAGGTGCAGACCTGAGGTCTGCAGCTTGGGTGGACAAAGCCTATTGGATTGGGGGATTTGGCAGATGGCCCCTGGGACATTCGTAGCGAGATGGCCCAGAGATGCTGAGGGTGTCCTGCCCAGGTGCAGTGTTACTCTCCTCGGGTAGGACATCTACAGGGGTGGGAATTGGTGGCGGTCCACATGGTCTGTGTGTGTGTGTGTGTGTGTGTGTGTGTGTTTTTGTGTCTGTGTGTGTACCAGCTTGATTCCTTGAAAGGAAAAGCCACCTGGTATGACACTGAAATCCTTCATTTCCCTTTTGACTTGCCATTGATATTGAGCAAAAACAGCGAAAACAATGGAATGCAGGTCGTCATGCATTTTCAACACCCACTCAGCATTCTGCCAGACCTGGATTTCAATGGCGGCTGCCAACCTGTATATAGCAACAGATACATACATGCATGGCACAACCAGCACAGTATTGATAATGTTGGTGGACTCTTCAAAACTTGACTCCAGTTTGCTGAGTGTGTCTGATAAACTTGCCTGCCATCTTGTATTTGTCTATTTATTTGGATGAAGTTATTAATGGCCGACACCATGGGATAACTTCTCCTGACCACTGGTAGTCCTCTTAATGCCAGAGACCTGGAGGCTTCCTTTGTTGGCCAGCTGCAGAGACGTGCCAGTAATCGGTTCAGTAGATGTGCTTTCAAGTCTAATCTAGACAGAGTACCCAACAAGGTGAAAGTTTCTGAGCTGGTGGAGGGTGTAGAAGAAAGCTGTGCCAATGGATCCTCTGAAAAATATGTGGCTTCTTCCTCAAAGTGGAGGAAGAACTGATGGAGTGAGAGGCTGCCTCTTCGGGGCACAGGTTGCGTGAGAGCTACTAGTGCCTGCATAAGAAAAGAGAGATCATTGGTTATGCAGTAGGGGCAGGAGCTTGAGAATAAGCTCACTCTGTTGGTAATGGCAGAACACTGCAGTATGGTATGATGAAGCTTACTGGGTTGCCTTGACATGGAGGTTTCAGTGGGCTCAATTCTAACCAGCCATCCTAAATATCTTTTCCTCATTGGGGGTAATGGGCCAAATGATGGCCCTACTGCTGTTTGGCACTCTCTGCCTGATTTCTGATTATGAAACATTTCTTCTGTGATGGGTAAAAGGAGGGATTGATTGAGATTTAAGTGCATTAAAGAGCTGTTAGTTGTGGTGCAGGACAGGAGAGTTGGTGATGGTCCCCAGTGAGTGAGTAGGAAGCACAGAGTGCAGGAAGGGCTAGGAAAATGACAAAGTGAGAGGTACTGAGTAGAAGTGCTGCATGAAATAGTGAGAGTTTTAAACCATTAGCCTTGATGATGTTACTGTGCAGTGGTAGTGTTAGGTTGAATGTGAGATAGCAGAGCAAAGGTGGTGGCAATTTTTTTGTGAGCACAGAAAACCCTTACAACAAAAACAAGAAGTGCTAAATAAGGTCAGCTGGAGAAACTGTTGACATAAAAACTGTTTGGTTGACAAAACTGGCCTTGAAACATTAACTTTGTTTTTCTTTTGACTCATGCTGCCAGACCTGCTGAGTTTCTCCAGCAATTTCTGTTTTTGTTTGAGATCTCCAGCATCCAAAAGTCTTTGTTTTATTTTAGCAGAAACACACTGATCTTCTTTCACCACTGCTGTGCATTCCTTTTGGTCCATGATGGGCACTGATCAGATCATTATCTGAGTCCATGCTGGACTTGAGTGGTGGCATGGCCTCCTTTGCCCATCTGCAAGAAAGAAGATCGACTTCTCAGCCAGCCCATTCACTAGCACCTCCAGGTCCCTGTTGTTAAAACATGTTGCCAGCCTTCCTTTCTGGGCATATTCTTTTCAATAATGATCGAATCCCAAAGTGAGAAAGGCATTGGCTTGCAGCCTTTAAAGAGGTGTGCAGCATGGATTTAAATATAGTGCCGGAGGCCTAAATGCCACAAGATCCCAGCAGGGGTGAGCACCTCTGCCTCTGCTGCTACATGATTGAACAAGATAGGCACCATAGAACCTAACTGCATAATTAATGAAGACAGCAGTAGAAATTGCATGAGAAACTTTGCTGTGAGCCAAGATAGGACACTTGCCATAAAACTGCCCAAAAATAGCACTCAGTCTAAAAATATGAAAATTCAACCCATTATTACAATTCCCTCAGCAAACATTCCCAAATGGAAGTAATAAATGCTGAGCCTAGCCACCCACGCCCTCCTCTGTGAATAATTAAGAAAACATCTAAATATAACTAAGATGAAATGGCCATTAGCACCTATTTTAATTGGCTGCTCTATATCTGTGGCACTGCTCATTTACTGTGAATATATTATGGACCATCATGTTATTAAATAGTTTTCAGTTTCAATAAGTTTAGCAAATGCTAAGATTGGAAACGTTCAGCACCACAACAGATTATTGTGTACTATAGCCAAATTTTGTAAGGTTGATTTTCCATAAAAGGAATTGTTACAGACCATGTGAGTGTTTAAGAGTTTTACTATGACTTTTCAAAAGAAATTCTCACATTTCCTTACTCAATAATCTGGGTAGCCTATATCTTACTCATAGTAGTTCAGCTTTAAGACTTTACAATCTCATTTAATTCAGTTTTCAAATACCTCCCATCCTAACACCCAGCCTGAATGCAACAGGAAATAGAATGGATATAAAAACAACTGATTATCTTTCCTATGGATGTTTTTACAGATGCTTTTTGTTTTGCTAGATGTATCCCATTTCCTTAATCTGATATTTTACTGTACCTTTGCATAGAAGCATGTATCGGAAAGCTTCCACAATGGACACGTCTGATCACATCTTGGGCACATGATTATTGTGTGGGCATTGCAGATTTCCCTACTGAAGGTACATGGGGGAGAAAAAGATGGTTAAAGAATTGCATTTATCATAGAGTCACACAGCACAGAAAGGCCCTTTAGCCATTCAGTCTGCACTGAAAAATGATTACTCTAAATCTACACCAGTCCTGCTCACCAGCACTAATCTTCCAAGGAAACATTTTGTAAAATGTGGGAGTGCTCAGATATTAGAGATAACTCAGACAAACTCTCAAGTCATCCTGCAGCACTGAACTGCAGGGATCACTGATGCTTGTTCCAAAGAACTTATAGAATGAAACAGACACTTGGCCCAATGATTTTACACAGTGCTTATGCTCTGTACTAGTTTACTCACACTCTATTTATTTTATCATTATATTCCATTCCTTTTCAAATACTTATTTCATTTACCCATTATGTTCCTTTTCAATCATTCACAGAACATGGACTCTAATGGCTAGGCCAGCATTAATTGTCCTTGAGGAAAAGATATAAAACAGCCAGTGAAGTTCATGTAATGTAGATGCACCTATAGAGCTGTTAGTGCAGGGGGAGTGCCAGGATTTTGACCCAGCAACAGCAAGATATGGTGATGTACTTCCAAGTTGGGTGTATTGCCTCAAAGCGAATTTACGTGATTCTGCTGACCTTATCCTTCTTCTTGGTTGAGCTCACAACTTTGGCAGGTGCTGACCAAGGAACAGTGAAGGTACACACTGGTTACACTGTAAATCAGTGGTGGAGGGAGTTAATATTCAAGGTGTTAGATGGGGTATCAATGAATTGGACTGCTTTGTCCTGGATGTTGTTGAGGTTCTTGAGTGCTGTTGGAGCTGCGTTCATCCTGGCAAGTGGAGACAGTATTGCATCACACTCCTGACTTATGCCTTGTAGACCATGGACAGGCTTTTGGAAGTCAGGAAATGAATTATTTGCCACAAAACTCCCAGTCTCTGACATGTTCTTGTAGCCACTCTATTTATATGGTAAGTCCAGTTCAGCTTCTGGTCAGTAATAACTCCCTAGATGTTGATAGTGGGCAATTTAGCCATGGTAATTCCACTGAATATCAAGGGGATATTGATAGATTCTTTCTTGTCCTGGCACTTGCGTGACATCAATACTGCTTGTCACTTAACATTGTTGTGACCTCATGGCCTGATTTAATGAAGAGTGCCAAGATGAGCATCAATATACCTAAAAAGGTGTCAACCTGATGTAGGTACAGCCCAGGGGTACTTGCATGCTTATCTGCATAGCCAGCACATAATGGACTGAGCAAAGCAACCAACAGATCACATTTAAGATCACACTTAAGCCTGGATGTTGTTCAGATGTTGATGAGCAGCAAATAATTCTGAACAACGTGCAATCATTACAGCACATTCCCACTTCTACCTTATGATGGAGAGGAGTTCATTGATGAAGCAGCTGAGGATGATTGGGCCGAGGACAGGATAGTGAGGAATTCCTGCAGAGCTGTCCTGTGGTTCAGATGATCAGCATCCAGCCATATTTCTTTGTGCAATTTATGACACCAACCAGTGGAGAACTTTCATGTTGATGCCCACTGACTACATTTTTATAGGTTGCTTGATGCCACACTCTTGAAATGTTACTTTGATTCAAGGGCAGTTATCCTCACTTTCCATCTTGAGTTCAGCTCCTTTGTCCATGTTTGCGCAAAGGCAGTAATAAGGTCAGGACCCCATTGACCGAGCAGAATCCAAGTGGGCATCAGCATACAGGTTATTGTTCAGTAAGATTTACTTGATAGCACTATTGACAGCACCTTCCATTACTTTGCTGGTGATCAAGAGTAGACCAATAGGGTGGTAATAGGCTGGATTGGATGTGCCTGGCTTTTGTGGGAGGACGATATCAACTCAACCTTCCAAACTGCTGGGTAGTGGCCAACATAACAATGGTATTTGTACGGTTTGGCTAAGCATGCAGTTGGTTCTACAATGTAAGTTTTCAATACTATAGCTGGAATGTTGACAGGCCCCATGACCCTTGCAGGATCCAGTGACTTTAGCTGCTTCTAGATATCAAGTGGAGTGATCAAATTGGCTCAAGGCTACCATCTATGCTGCCTAGAATCTCAGGAGGAGACCACTTAGCACTTCTATCTGATGACCGATGCAAACGTTTCAGCTTTGTCTTCTGCACTGATGTTATGGGTTCACCCATTATTGAAAATTGAAATATTTTTATAGCCTCTTCCTCTAGTGAATTGTTCAATTGTCCACCACCATTCATGACTGGATGTGATACTACTCCAGAGCTTAAATACGATCTGTTGGTTGCTTTGCTCAGTCCATTACGCGCTGCCTATGCAGATAAACTTGCAAATAGCCCTGGGCTGTACCTACACCAGGTTGACACCTCCTTTTTAGGTATGTTGATGCTCACCTTGGCACTTTGCATTAAATCAGGCCATGAATCACAAATTAAGTCCAGTTGCAATTCTGTGGCTGTTGGTAGCCTCTCAAGGATGTCCAGTCTGGATTAGCTGGATTTGTTTGAAATCTATCCCATTTATCACAGTGAAAGTTCCACACAACACAATGGGATGGAGTGCTAGCGGTCACAGAATCATAGAACCTCAACAGTGCAGAAGGAGGCCATTCAGCCCATCGAGTCTGCACTGACTCTTCAAAGCTCACACCACCCAGACCCAGCTTCCTACCATTTCCCATAAACTCACATCCATCATAGCTAATCCACCTAGTCTACACATCCCTGAATAGTACGAACAATTTCAGCATGACCAATCCACCTAACCTGCGTATCTTTGGACCGTGGGAGGAAACCATTACACCTGGAGGAAAACAACGCAGACGCGGGGAGAATGTGCAAACTCCCCACAGACAGTTGCCTGAGGCTGGCATCGAACCCAAGTCCCTAGCACAGTAAGGCAGCAGTGCTAACCATTGAGCGAACGTGCCGCCCCAGCGGTTTTGTCTATATAAGGGTGGGACTTCATCTCCACAATCTGTGATCACTTCTACGTACATTATTATGGCTGATTGGTGAGGATGAGGTCAGGTATATTGTATCCTCTTTTTGGTTCTCTCACGACCTTTTACAGACTCAGTCTGAGAGCTAAGCCTTTTAGGAATCAACACCTTTATCAGCAGTACGGCTGAACTAGTCTTGGTGGTTGGCACTGAAATCCCCCAGGGTATATTCTGTGTCCTTGCCACCCTCAGAACATCATCCAAGTGGTGCTCGACATGGAAAAGAACCGATTCATCACCTTAAAGAATTAGGGTGGCATGGGAGCTGGTAATCAACAGGGCATTTCTGTCCATGTTTCACCTGATAAAACCATAAAAAATAGAAACAGGAGTAGGCCCCTTGGCACCTTGAGCCAGCTCCACCATTCTATGGAATCTCATCTGATCCGACATTCGGCATGTCCGCTTTCCTGCCCTTTCCCTGTAACCCTTCATTCCCCTATTGATCAAGAATTGATCTATCTCAAACTTAAATCTACACAAGGATTCTGCCCCATAGCTCTTTTGCAACAAGGAGTTCAAAAAACTCACAACCCTCTGAGAGAAGAAATTCCTCTGCATCTCAGTTTTAAATTGGCACCCCTTTATTCTGAGACTATGCCCTCCTAGACTCTCCCATGACGGGAAAACATCCTCTCAGCACTTACCGTGTCAAGCCCCTTAAATATCCTATATGTTTCAATGAAATCACCTCTCATTCTTCTAAATTCCCTTGAGTAGAGTTTAACCTTTGCCCATAAGACAATCCTTCCATTCTGGGGATCATCCCAGTAAACTTCTCTGAACTACCTGCAATGCAATTATATCTTTCCTCAAATAAGAAAATGAAAACTACTCACAGTGCTTCCTTTGTAGTCCTACCAGTACTTTGTGGGGTTGCAGTAAGATTGCAATGCGACTTCTTGGCATCTGGCATCTATGTTAAGCACTCTGCTTCCTAACTGCATACCATTGTGCAGCCACCTTTGGGCTGATGATGGTGATCACATTAGATGAAGGCTGGCATCCATGATGCTGGAGCCCTGAGAAAGAGACCAAGATCCCAGCAGAAGTGGTGATAGATGTCTGAGACATTATAATGTATGATTCTGTGAGAATGACTATGTTAGGCTGTTACTTGACTAGTCTGTTCCACACCTCTCCCGCTTTTGGCACAAGCTCCTCGATGTTAGTATGGCGCACTTTGCAGGGTTGAGAGGGCTGTGAGTGTCTTTATCTTTTCCAGAGACTTGGTTGATGACAGAAGGTCCATCCAGTTTTATTCCTTTTATCAGACATTGTAGTACTTTACAACAGAGTAGTTTTCTAGACAATTAAGAGTAAACCATGTTGCTGTGGATTTGGAGTCACATGTGAACCAGACCAAATACATCTTCCTTCTCTGAAAGGATCTTAGTGAACATCAATAATGGTTTCATGGTCACCTGGTCATTAGTCAAGCTTTCAATTCCTAATTTATCAATTGAAATCAAATTCCAACATCTACCACGGTGAGATTCAGAGCTTTAGACTATGTCTCTGGATTACTAGCCCAGTTACAATACTGCTATGCCACTGCCTCCTCATAACTTATATACATTTTAGCCTCAACTATGTCCTGTGGTAGTGAATTCAAATCTTCATGAGGCAATGAAGTGAAGTTGCAGCCTCCTTCTGTTTCCTATGTGACCCTTAGCAGAAACGATGTTCCAAGCATTATGGGTCCAACAAACAGCCCTTTCAAGTTTAAGATGTTACCAAACCAGGATCTATCTATTCTTCCATCTTTTCAGTTCTCCAATGTCATAAAGCTTGAGCAAAGTAGATATTTCTCTGATAAAATAATTTCGATCTTTTTTATTATCTGTTATGATTTTTTTCCTTCATTCATTCACAGGATGAGGGTGACGCTGGGTAAGAGGCATTTACTGCCCATCCCTAATAGCCCAAAGGGCAATTAAGAGTCAACCACACTGCTGTGGGTCCGGAGTTATATGTAGGACAGACCAGGTAAGGATGGCAGTTTCCTTCTCTAAAGGGCATAGTTAACCAAATGGTTTTTTTCCGACAATTGACAATGGATTCATGGTCATCATTAGATTCTTAATTCCAGATTTTATTTGAATTCAAATTCCACCATCTGCCATGGCGGGATTCAAACCCGGGACCCCAGAACGTTATCTGGGTCTCCGGATTAACAGTCCAGCGATACCACCACTAGGCCATCACCTCCCCCCGACAGAATTGCAACAGAAACACCAATTATAAATACCTCACTTGGCTATCTCCAAAATAGAATAATCCATATAAAAAGACTATGACTCCACATATGGCGGCAGGAATCAGCATGGTAGTGTACCAACCAAGCCATGCAAAATACAAGGCAAGACGCTCTCCAAAATACAATCTACAAATAGAAATATAATGCAAGTCATCAAAAGTATAATATTTTAAACATGATTTTCTTTGTTGTATATTTCTAGCTATGTAGAATAGAGTCAAGGACATTACATCTATATTATGCCTTTAACAGAGTTAAACCAAAACAAGCATGCCACAGAAGCAATATCAAACAAAATTTAATGATAAGAGGTTATGTCAATGTGACAAAATAAAAAGCCTTGGACAAAGAGGTATGCTTTAAAGTGCATCTTATTAAAACAGGGAGGTAGAGAGGCAAACACTGCATATACTGAAGACCTGAAATAAAAACAACTGGAAAAAGACATAGTAGGCCTGGTTGCACCTGTGAAGAGAGAAATAGACTTAACATTTTTGATTTTTTCAATCAATCTGTTCAGATATGTTACAACACACCTCTAGGGCAGGTGCAACTTGAACCTAAGCCTCTTTTAACATGACTCACCTTAAAGCTCAGGTAGCTGAAGGCACAGCTGCCAATAATGAAGCAATTAAAATTGGATATGCACAAGAATCTATAACTGGAGGAGCGCAGAGATCTCAAGACCTGTAAGGCTAAATGAGGCTATAGGTGAGGCAAGGCCCGGAAGGGTTTGAAAACAAGGCGGAGAATATTAAATCCAAATTATTGCCAAATAGGGATGTTAATTGCACATTAATTGTGATTAAGGGCACTCTCTTAAGCTCCTATAAATATGAGCAGTCATATGCTTAGTTATTCCTGGAGAGGAAGAATGCTATATTCATCAGTACGCTTGAGGATGGCTAGGGATCTGTGGATATTGGAGGGGCTGGAGTGCATCATCACCTTTAGAAGTGTTATCATAATTTTATATATTACATTTTAAATTGTTTTTCACAGTAAGGTAAAAATGCTTTTTTAAAATAGCAGTGCATTGATCATTATTGAGTTCTAAAGAGATATTGGAACAGGCTTAAAATATTATTGTTTGGTTATAAGATTTATGTTTGTAGTATTCATGCGTAAATTAACACTTTTTAAAGTGTTAAAGATTGATTCCAGTTTTATTCTTGGCTGTGGTTGGTTTGCTCGCCGAGCTGGTTCGTTAGGTCACAGACGTTTCATTACCCGGCTGGGTAACATCATCAATGCAGCCTCTGATGAAGTGCTGTTGTGTTTTCCCACCTGGTATTTAAACTCTGGGGTTCGTTGGAATTGGCTACCTCATTTTCAGTTTTTCTTTGCAGTGGTGTATATACAGGGTCTAATTCTACGTGTTTACTGATGGCCTTCTTGGTGGAGAAGCAAGCCTCTAGAAATTCCCGTGCTTGTCTCTGTTTGGCCTGACCTAGGATCCTGATATTGTCCCAATCGTACTGGTGGTTCTCCTTATCTGTGTGAATGGGCACAAGTGAGTACTGGTCATGTCGTTTTGTTGCTAGTTGGTGTTAATGTATTCTTGTGGTCAGTTTCCTTCCTGTCTGTCCAATGTAATGTTTTTCACAGTCTTTGCATGGGATCTTGTATATCACATTGGTTCTGTCCATAGTAGATAAGGGGTCTTTGGTTCGAGTTAGCAGTTGGAGTAGGGTTGACATAGGTTTGTGTGCCACTCTGATGCCCAATGGAATTCTTGGACATCATGGCAGATGCAGGGCTAATGGGGAGTTTCCGACAAATGTACACAGAAAGGCCACACACACAGATCAAATCCTGAATTTCAACAGCATCCACAAATGGAGTTGCGTAAAAACACTATTTAAACGAGCGACAACACACTGCAGCAACCTAGAACTACGCCAAAATGAAGAAGAATACCTTTACCAAGTATCTAAGGACGACAGATATCCAAACAGTTGGGTCTGACGACGCCTATCACACAAACAACAACAGGAAGATACAGAATGCCCTGACACACACGTCACATTACCATACATCAAGAACATATCCGAACTGACCACAAGACTCCTACAACCATTGGGCATCAGAGTAGCACATAAACCTATGTCAACCCTACGCCAACTGCTAACTCGAACCAAAGACCCCTTACCCACGATGGACAGAACCAACGTGATATACAAGATCCCATGCAAAGACTGCAACAAACGTTACATTGGACAGATAGGAAGGAAACTGGCCACAAGAATACATGAACACCAACTAGCAACAAAAAGGCATAACCAGTAGTCACTCGTCTCCATTCACATGGATAAGGAGAATCACCAGTTCAACTGGGACAACATCAGGATCCTAGGACAGACCAAACAGAAACAAGTACAGGAATTTCTAGAGGCTTGGTTCTCTACCAAGAAGGCCATCAATAAACACGTAGAATTAGACCCTATATATACACCACTGCAAAGAAAAACCGGAAATGAGGTAGCCAATTCCAACAAACCCCAGAGTTTAACTACCAGACAGGAAAACACAACAGCGCTTCATCAGAGGTTACATTGATGATGTTACCCAGAAGGGTAATGAAATGTCTGTGAACTAACGAACCAGCTCGGTGAGTAAACCAATCACAGCATCCACAACCTGAGCTACAAATCTGCTCAAGAACCTTAGTTTTATCCTTTATAATAAAAACTTATAGTTAAGTCCACTTTTTTTCCGTAGTGAGCTAGGTACTTTTGGAAAAAGTACCATAGTACTTTGTACCATATTCTCTTTGAAAAGTTGCTGGATGGTAATCTTCAATTCTGTCCAGATTTTGGGAGGTGCTTGTTGAAAACCTCTTTTAGGAGTTATTAAACAAGAGTTCAAAGGAGACAGACAGGGACTAAAAATTGAGTATCATATGACCCTGGCTCCAGTTATTTTGGGACTATTCTGATGCCTGATTGAAATCTGACTTGGGACCTCATATTTTAAGAGCATAAGAACTAGGAGCAGGAGTAGGCCGTCTGGCCCTTCAAGCCTGCTCCGCCATTCAATAAGATCATGGCTGATCTTTTCGTGGACTCAGATCCACTTACCCGCGTTCTCACCGTATCCCTTAATTCCTTTATTGTTCAAAAAAAATCTACCTTTTTTTAAAAACGTTTACCGAAGTAGCGTCAACTACTTCACTGGGCAAGGAATTCCATAGATTAACAACCCTCTGGGTGAAGAAATTCCTTCTCAATTCAGTCCTAAATCTGCTCCCTCTAATCTTGAGGCTATGCCCTCTTGTCCTAGCTTCACCCGCCAGTGGAAACATCCTCTCTACTTCTATCTTATCTATTCCCTTCATAATTTTATATGTTTCTATAAGATCCCCCCTCAATCTTCTGAATTCCAATGAATATAATCCCAATCTACTCAGTCTCTCCTCATAAGCCAACCCCTCAACTCTGGAATCAACCTAGTGAACCTCCTTTGCACCCCCTCCAGTGCCAATTTTGTTTAAATAAGGTGGTCCCTCTGAAGCAGAAACATCCAATACTACAGATTTAGTTTTAACAATAAAATGTAATCTTATTAAGCAAAATAAATGAAGATAAAATTGTGGAAATTGCCTGAACAAACCTATATTGAATTTTGAAGTGTTATGCAAAGTAATTTTGAGCATCAAGAGCTGAAACTATGTGTAAAACTGAGATAATTTTCTTGGATGACTGAAGATTTTTCTATGCTTTTTGCAATAAGAACCTTTTTTGAAGACCAGAGGGTTGCAACTATGAGACAGGAAGCAGTAATGGCAGATTTCAGATGATTTATAAGATAAGTATTTTCTCCATTACCCCCTTAAATTCAAGAAGGATAGAGAACATGTGGTTAAAATGGAGGCAAGGTAAACAGAAATGAAAAGACAAGTGGGAATGTCCATGATCCCTCAGAGCAGAAATGAAGGTTAAAATTGAAGTCCTAATGTGTTTCCATTGTAATAACATAGAATGCTGGACGTTGCATGGGAAACACATGGAACTACTTGGTGTTTAAGAGTCTGAAAGGGAACTCTGAAAGGGAAAGAAAATGGAAAATTGAAGCTTTAACTGGCAATAAGTGTTCCTGAGTACAGGAAAATGAATAAAGTAGATGACAGATATAAAGGCTTTTTGTCAAAAGGGAAGCTGGCTGACTTTTTTTATTCAAATAACATGCCTAAACCATAACTATGTTAAAGGATACAGGGGAGGTACTCAAACATTTTTTTTGTTGGGATAGGACCTAATTTTCCCTAAATTGTGCATTGAAAACTGAAGTGCTTATAAATTAGCTGAAGTGTATCCCAGTTCCATTATACAAAGTGCAGTTGGAGGGTCCGAGACAACAAGGTGCAGAGCTGG